GGATATGTGCTGGTCCCACACACATACATGGGCATGGCCATCCACCAATTCCAAACCGGCCATACATTTGGCTTCCCCTTGGCATAGGGTAACAGAGGCACAGACTAACAACTAACCTGACCCTGGATGAGGACAACACCTGGGGAGAGGTGAGCCTGGAAAGACAGCAGACCCAGAGAGAAAGTACAGATCTGGACAGCAACTTAAGCAACTCCAGTGTTACCCTCCCAAAGTGACTGGGTAAAAGACCACAACAGGAAATTACTGCAGAGAGAGAGAGCAGACCATACATAGACCCCTCTGAGAACTATAACCTCAGGCTTGGAAGGCCATTGTCCCTGCCTTCCATCGGGAGCAACCAGACACCACAAGTGTCCACAGTAAGTGCAAGAATCCACTTGAACCCTCACCCTGTAGCCTACATCCAGCAGAGACCAGACAGCACATCGCATTTTCCATTACCAACTGTAGCAAGGACATACTTTGGCTTGGATGGTAACCACAGTCTTGGGTCAATGGACAGGAGGGCCTCTGGTGTAGGCAGGACAGAAACCCATAGAACCTAAAGCTAGGTGGAGAAAATTGTGACTGGCTGGATCCCAAGACTGAAGATCTTGGAAAGAAATCGCTCTTACAAAAACACAGAAGTATTAGCTCAGTGGCACTGCACCTGCCTTGCAAGTGTAAGGTCCTGAGTTCAATCCCTGGTACCGAAAAAAAAAAAAAAAAACAGAAGAATTTTTTTCTTTGACTCAATCTTTTTTTCTATTTGTTATTATTTTTCTTTTTCTTTTATTGGATTTTTGAAAAGTTTCAGATTGTTTTCTCCCTTTTCTGATCTTTCTCTTTTACTTTCTTTTCTCTCCTTTTCTCTTCCTTGTCTCTCATTTCCTGTATTTTGCTGTTTTTCTTCTTTTTCTTATTCATTCTTTTCTGTGACTGTTCTCTAACTATTAATTTCCTTTTACTTCTCAATATGAGCCTCATCTCACCTTTCTCTCTTCTCATATCCCATTGGTTAAATTTTTAGCTTTTTTCATTATCTAGTTCCTGAACAGAACCCTGGCTGCACAGGAAATAGTATCAACAATCAACAAATTGGATTGTATCAAATTTAAAAGCTTCTGCATAGCAAAAGAAACAACCAAGAGAGTGAAAGACAAACTACCGAATGGGAAAAAAATTTCCAGCTATTCCTCAGACAGAGGAATATAATATTTGGAATATATAAAGAACTCAAAAAAAAATTAGACCTCCCCCAAAAATAAAGGACCCAAGATAAAAATGGGCAAGTGAAATAGACACTTCACAGAAGAAGTATAAATGGCCACTAAACACATGAAGAAATGCTCAACATTGCTGCCCATTAAAGAAATGCAAATGAGAACAACATTGAGATTGCATCATGATGGCCAAGAAAGAATGGCCATCAAGACATCAAATAACAAATGCTGGCAAGGCTGCAGGGGAAAAAGGGAACCCTTCCACATTGTGGGTGGGAATATAAACTAGCACAACGGAAATCAGTATGGAGAGTCCTCAAAAAACTAAAACTAGAAATTTTATTTGACTCAGCTATTTCTCTTCTAGGTATCTTCCCAAAAGAGTTAAAAACAGCATATTACAGTGATACATGGATACCCATAATTATAGCAGCACAATTCATAATAGCTAAATCTTGGAAGCAGCCTATATGTCTAGCAACAAATGAATAGACATAGAAAATGTGTTATTTACACACAATGAAGTATTACCTGGCATAGAGATAAACATATCATTTGTAGGAAAATGGTTATGCCTTAAAACCATAATATTAAGTAAAATAAATCAGACACACAAGTTTAAATATCACATGGTTTCTCTTATATGAGAAACCCAAATTATAAATAAAGAGCAAAGTAAAAGATAGATAATAGGAAATAGGGAGATAGATGTCTTAGTTACTTTTCTCATTGCTGAGACAGAATGCCCAACACCCAAAGTTAAAGGAGGAAATGTTTATTTAGCTCACAATTTGCAGAGGTTTCACTTCATAGTTGGCTGGTTCCAAGGCAGGGTGGCATCACAGAGGAGAAAAAGTTCATGGCAGGCAGAGGTAGCAAAGCAAGCAAGGGGCAAGAAAAGCTTCTTTCTGTCCCTTATACTGTATCCACGCCTCTGAGATTAGAATGGTGCCAAACCGATCAGTGGACTGATATAGTAATCATCCACACTTAATCCTAGCATTGCACCATGAATCAATCCCATACTCTAGATACATCCACCTCTGAAAAAGCCTCATCTAGACACAAGCAACAATATTAGGTGTTTCTCAAATAGGAAGGGAATCAAGAGATGGAGGGGGAAGGAGGGGAGAGAAAGACAATGAGAAAAGGAATTAAAATGTGTTATGCATGTGTACCAACTTCACACAAGGAATGTAAACACTATGTACCACAAACATGTACCAATAAAAATTAAATGAAATAATAAGAAAGGAAGGAAAGAAGGAAAGAAGGGAGGGAGGGAAGAAGGAAGGAAAGAAGGAAGAAAGGAAGGAAGGAAAGAGGAAAGAAAGAAAAGAAAGAAAGGGAGAGAGAAAGAAAGGAAAGAAAGAGAGAGAGATAGAGAGAGAGAAAGAAAGAAAGAAAGAAAGAAAGAAAGAAAGAAAGAGACAGAAAAGTCCTGCAGTTCTGAAGTATAACCATCACCAAAGCCCAATCTATCCCCTGGTTGTTAAGTTAGGGTTTTTTTTCAATAAAATTAATACAATTTCCAAAAGTACCTCCAATTTTACAAGTAAAGGTAATGTTTAAATACCAAATAGTTTCTCTGGTGTGAGAAACTGAAAGTGTAAATGAGGACCAAAATGTATAATAGATAATGTGAAATAGGAAGAAAAGGGGCAAAGGGGAAGGAGGAGGAGGGAAGGGGTGGGGGAAAGGAAAGAAGGGTAAGAAAAAATATGGGAAAAGAAGGAAAAAATGGAAACAAAGTTTTTTGTAAATAGGGAGGGATGGAGAGGTGGAAGGGAGGGCAGGGGAAGGGGGAAAAAAGAAGAACCAAGATATATCATGTACAGGTGCAAATTCCCTATGATGAATGTGATCATAATGTATACCTAAAATTTACCAATAAACTTAATGAAAAAAAATGGTAATAGAGGCAAGTAGAAGAAATTGACTCACCAGGTGCTGAACAATGAAAATATAGCGTACCAAACCCCACATTCTAATGGAAATTATCAACAAAATTTAAAATATGTTCAGAAACTCAATGACATATAAGCAGAAAATCGATTGTGTTATAGTCATAGTCATAGTACAGGTTGATACTGTATGTCATAGTACAGGTTGATCAACCATAATCTGAAAATCCAAAACCTGAAATGCTCCAAAGCCCAAAATTTTTTGAATGTCAACTTGACACCAAGAGTAAAAAATTCTCCATCTGACTTCGTGTGAAGGGTCACAGACAAAATGTAGCATAAAATTGATATAAATAATACAGAATAAAGTGATCATCACCCTATGAATATAAGGCATACATGAAACAAATGAATTTTTTGTTTAGACTTGGATCCCATCTCCAAGACATCCCATTTAAATATATGCCAATATTCCAAAATCTGAAATCCAAAATGTTTCTGGTCCTAAAATTTTCAGATAGGGGATACTCATCTTGTACTACAAAGCTAGCAATTGCTTACAAAGAAACTGTAATGCAGTGATTTCCCCATCAACCAAAGAAGCTAATCACAACACTCCCAAAGTGCTTGCTTAAAATCCAGATTCCAAGGGCTGGGGATTTAGCTCAGTGGTTCTGCTGCCTGCCCCACAAGCGCAAGGACCTGAGTTTGATCCCTGGTACCAAAAACAAAAAACCAAAAAATCCAGATTCTGGGGCCTCACCGAGAGCCTTGGAGTGTGTATTTTCAAAAAGGGTTCAAGGTAATGCTCCTGGGATTCCTACCCAATGGAACACACTTGGAATGGCCAAGGTTCTGCCCCACATGTTCACTTAACTGTAAATTCAATTTTCATTTACAAAATTTTCAAAGAATCACTGCCTATCTCTGAATGGGAGACTTGAAAGTGAATGTATTGTTTCTTCTTTCTCTTGACTGTATATTCCCCTCAGTGAACCTAGATTACTTTTTGAAATAAATGTTATTTTATTGTCTTAAAAAGAGCAGCAACTCTGCAGAGCGTCTAAATGCTTCCAAAGGTGGGGACCCATGCTGCATTTTATTCCCAGAACTTTTGCAGGTGCTTTTTTTTTAACATAACTCCTGGCAACATAGCCTTGTCTGAGTCTGAAGGAAAAAAATATGATTTTTAATAATGGCCCAGCAATTAGGTTTAGTGAATGGTTTTTGTAAACGTGTTGACCTTTCTGTGATTCATTTTCTATAGTCAAAGCTGAGTGGCTTAATGAGCATGTAAATTTCTCTTTTGTGAGCATTTTTAGGACTTCTCTTTGTAGTACTAAACTAGCAAATCTAAAATGTTCTTTAAAGTAAGAAACACCTGACAGTTCCTAAATTTGTTTCATCAGTGCAATTTTTGTACAGCTCTCAAAATGGTCTTAAGTCTCTTCAATATTGGTACTTTGGTTTACTGCCAGAAAGTGACTGACTAGAAAAGAAATGAGAAGAAAGGCAGCAAAAGACCAAGAATGACCTGGAAAAATTAATATGCTCGTACAGAAATTTCAGGAAATAACATCATTGAATAACTCATTCCCAAAACTAATAAACAATTTAGGCTCTCAGAAAGACCAGTATGGAGAAAGACCAGAAATAAGGGGCAAAAACGTTTTGCATTTCTTGTCATCACAGCAAGTAAATTACACCAGATAATGGTTTAGGCCAATTTATCACAAAGGTCACCATAATTGTCCCTGTGACTCTTTTGCTGTAACTGTCTTTTAAAGCAACTTCCAAAGGATGATAGAAAGAAGGCCTTTCTGATGCACAGAGAAAACAAAAGCCACAGTAAAATGCATATGAAAGTTCTTACTTCTTCCTCTCAGAGCCCAATATCCTAAACAAATCTTTAAAGTACTGCGGGACACGGACCACCACATTTTCAGAGGGGCCAATGTCTTTCAGGTGGGGGTACAGTCTGGTATCAATGACCTTCTTGATGTAGCCCAGCCAGTCAAACTGAGGAGAGAGAGAGAGAAAAAAAAAGACAGAGAGATTTTGTTAGGCAACAAGTAAAAAGAAAGGCAAATAGAGTAGGCTGAGCACTTAAAGATGCAGCTGATCACTTTTTACTTGTCTAGACGATAAAGTCTTGACTACTGCCATTTATACCCATGGACAAATGGAGTCTGTGTATATGTACTGTGTGCACAGGGACTACACACACTCTGGCTCAGTGATGTGCACCGGTGCTCCCTGGACTCCTCCAGCTTCCTCCTTCCTCACAAGCTCCCTCTTCTTCCTTCATGCTGCTCTCGGGCCCCAGCCCTAGTCCTCTGGTCTTTGCTCCCTTCCTCCAACACACTCCCCTCATCTCCTGAACTTCCCTCCCTCCAGTCTACACTCTCCCACTCTCCCTTCCTTTGCACTGTGGTCTCCTTGCTCCCATACACACAGGTACAGATTCATCAGTACCTTGCTGTCTTCTCCCTGAAACAGCCTTTTTTAATCATGGGAAGAAACAAAGCAACAGAATGTAGAGTGCTCTTCCATTCTTCTCTAAAACACTACTTGGTGTATTAGACTAGCTCCCCTAAAAGGCATTTACCAACCTTTCTCCCTTTTCTTTTTCTACTACTGAAATGGAATCCCACTGAAATGGAATGCCCAGAATCCATCCCACTACCCACCCCAGAGTTAGGAGTGACCACATGACTCAATTCCACTAAATAAGGATTCCACCCAGTTCTACTAAATAAGGAAGATGTCTGGGGATATTCTGGAAAAGCTGTTTTGTTTTCCTTAAGAAAAGAGTCAGATGTGGCCAACACTGGTCCTTTCCCCCCTTCTTCTTGCCTTAATGGCAAATGCTATAATACATAGAGCTATGGTAGCCAGTTTCAAACCATGAATCATCAAATATGAAATTGAAAATCAAATATACTCCCAGGTGTGGCAGCACATGCCTGTAATCCCAGTACTTGGGAGGCTGAGGCAGCAGGATCACTGAGAGTTCAAGGCCAGCCTGAATTACAGAGGGTGACCTTATTTCAAAACAATAAACAAAAAAATCAAATACACTAAGCACAGTAGAATGCAAACATAAAAAGAACTTGGGTCTTTGATAATACTGTTTAACAGCAGAACTAACTATCACCTATGTCTAGATTTTTATCATATGAGAAAATGGGCTTTACAGTTTTAATCCACTGTCAGAAAGACTTTCTGTTCCCTATAACAGAAGGCATCCTGATATCCACACAAGGGATATTTTATGTGATAGCTGACAAAGTTGATGAAACCAAAAAGACTGAAAGTAGGTTTTTACGAGGCAAAAATTTGTACATAGATGAAATATAATCACTTGTAAAATGACCAGTTAAGAGAAAACTTCCTGGACAGTTTTCACCAACCTGGGGAATCATAGCACTCAGTTCAGAAATGTTCATTTTGTTGTACATAGCCTCACTGGTTCGGTTTTCATGTGGAATCATTATCTGTTGGGAAAAGACTTTAGTTATTTTTTCAAATGAGCCATTTCTTACTGCATGACTACTTTCTACATATGCCAAACATCTGCACACTATTAAAAAGTTTTTCAAAGCTTTGGTGTGGTGCCAAGCTGAAGAGAGAGACAAAAAAGACAACATTTTAGGTAGGATTAAGAAAAAATTTTTTTTTTAATTTACATGTTCTCTGCAGTGTAAAATATTGTCCCCGGTACAAGAACATCCCAGAATACCCTCTTTCTCTATAAAGTGAATGTGCAAAGTCCATTCCTGCCTCAGTATTGCCAGCCAAAGTGAAGTTGGACAATTGAGGCAAAAGTTCTACTTTCACCTCAGGTCTCCAGATGATGATCTCAACATTTTCTGAACCGCAGACCATCCCTTCATCTCTAAGGGCCAATATTCACTGGGGAACACAAGGCTATCAGATACCACTGCTACCCGTAATCATTCTGTCAACAGCTCATTCCATCATGTCTCCCTCTTTGGCCCTTTGGCCTTGAGATTCTCTTAGCCCTACTGCTGGGGATATGGATTCATTATCACCTAGACACATAAAAAACCTGCACCTCCCGGCCCTGACTCTTCACACTCTTTCCATTCCATAAGTTCATACTCTACACCATTTGGCCAACACCAAATCTAAGCTTCTAGCTTCCACCATGTTTAGCCTAATCTAAGAACAGCAATAGTGATTATCTTCCTTGAGGGTCATCTTAATCACTTCCACTGATAGACAGTAGATTCCATACCACCCTGAATAATAGCATGATCTTGTCTACATTTGATTTTTCTTGCATTAAACTTGCCACCTTCTACCTCACACATGACCTTTGTACCTCCTAACCACAGTCACCACCTCCATGGTTTAAACTATGATTCAAGATTTTGCCTGAGATTTATGTCCTCTAGAAAGCCTCTCCAATTAAACACAAATCCTACACCATCAACAAGACCTCTCCTTATGCACAGTCTCAGTAGATGGGATTGGTGAAATGCACACTTCCATGACTGTCTTTGCCAGGACGTATTTGGGCTTGAATGGGCTAGCCTGCCTCCTCAGCCTCAGAAGATTCTCTAAGACTACATATCCCACTAATTTTGAATATACCTAGTAGCCCAAAGTACAAGAGAAAGAGGAGAGCGTTCCTACCAGGCCAAAAATCTATACCCCATGGATTCTTCAAGGCAAAATCACAGAGGGCTGAGTGGCAGACACTTGCCTCCTCTTTTCTTTCTTTTTTTTTGGTACCGGGGATTGAACTCGGGTCCTTGTGCTTTCAAGACAGGCAGTGGAACCACTGAGCTAAATCCCCAGCCCTACCTCCTCTCTTCTAAATACTTCAATGCCCTTAGCCTCTCCCTGCTCACCCTCCATAGGAGAGGCTATGTGTACCTTACCGTTTCCTGGCAGTCTCAGAGAATTTCCACATGCCTTCTCTTTCGACAGGCTCACAGCCCCAAATTGGAGCCCTTTGGCCTCAGAGCTGTTTTCAACTCTCTGCCAGCTACTCCCCTGCACATAATGGATTTGTCACTTCATTTAGCCTCTTGACAATTCCCAGTCTTGCCTTAGCCCAGCTGTTTTTAGTTCCTTTTTTGGTCCAACTCCCTAGCTCAGGGTAAGCCCTCCTCTGCTGTATCAGACCTTTAGTCCAAATTAGATTTCTGGGCCTCTTATTTGCCTGGGAAGACAGCTTGTGGACATGGCTTAGAAACCCAATGTGGACTTCAAAACATCTGCAGCAATCTTCATGGTCTTCAAAGGTGACAAACAGGAATGAACTTTTTGCGTCCCAAGTTGAGGTTTGGAAAGAGATGTATGTGAACATCATCACTTTGGGAGAGACTAATAATCCCCCCTGCCCCTCATCCTTCACCCTTACTCCACACCTCAACATGCCATCACCATCCCCTCAAAAAACCTTCTATTCACCAACTTCTATTACAAAACATCACCAACCTATATGAAAAAGTGTCTAGGTAAAAGTGCTTTTTGTTATTGTTCACTATGAAGTTTCCCTACAAGAAAATGTCACTATATTTTGTTCTCTCTGTGTACACAAAGGACTTCTATACTTTGTTTCTTCTAGGAAAAGTTACTCTATAAACAAGGCTAATCATTTAGGACTTTTCATTATTCTAGCACAAGTTTTATATCATTCTGTCCCTACCATGAGCCTGAAAGAATTTAAGGTGACACAGAGAACGCGGTACATGACACAATGACATTCACTAAATTGGGGCAAAAGGAATAAAAAGAAAGGGTAGACACAAGTAGCATCTGATCTTTTAAGATCAGATTAAAAAATACTTTCCAGCATTCCATATATACTTTCTACATTAAATTTTATGTCAAGTATTGGTACATAGACTTCTGTAAGCCCAGATCTTATATCAAACTTTCTCTGAGTGGGAAAGTATAAAAAGCAGCCTGAAGTAAAAGTAACATACCAGGGATGGGAGCATGTGCTTAACATGGGTGAAGCCCCGGGTTCAATCCCTGGCACCACACACAAAATGAGAACCTTCCGTTCAATTAAATCAATAAAGATTTATTAAACATCTATCTCCTATTTGAACTATATAACAATTTCTGTAGGAAAATAGATCTCAGTTGCTATTCTTTGGTCACAGTCAAGCAGCACCTAGACATGGTATGTGCTTAAACTAGGCAGATAGAATGAATAGCTCATTTTCCTGTCATAGTTCTCCTTGTTGTCACTTGCTCGGAGGGTGCCATTTAGCCCTACCTTAGACCCAAAGAGTAATGACACAGAAGGCTGTTATTTGGTTGCAATTTATTATTTCATTCAAGATATGCTGCTTTTATTTTTTTATTAATTTTTTTTGGTACCAGGGATTGAACTCGGGTCCTTGCACTTGTGAAGCAGGTGGCGGAACCACTGAGCTAAATCCCCAGCCCCTAGGATATGCTGCTTTTGAAACAAAGAAAAGAAAAGGGAAAGAAGAAAAGTGATTTTCAATTGAGACTTACCTCAGCTATCTTAATTTCCAGTCTAAGCACTGACTTCATGTCATGCTCTGCTCGGGAGCTGTTAGCTCCTAAAAGCACAGCAGTGTCCACCATGAATTTATAAAGGGCTTCTCGATACTGTAAGAGACAAAAAACCTAGTGACCATGACAACGGCCTAGTAGGAATTATGTTACAGAGACACAGAAGAGCAGAAACAACAGGTGGAAATAAATGCCCTTCATTTTCACGCCGTACTCAATGCATGGCACAGCCATTATGAAATACCAGCCACTCACCTACCACATTGAGAGGAAAAAAAGAGTGAGGAGAATGTGGGCACTGTTTGCATGACAGAAAAGTCTAGCCATCGACTATTAAGAGAATTAGTCTTCCAGTAATGGGAGACATTATGGATACATGAAACAGCTCCAAATGAGCCTAGGATAAAATGTTAAAGGTCAGATGTCCTCTTTCCAGGCAAGTGAGCCTTTGATAAAATAATGGGAAAGGTCGGTTTCTAAAAGTAGGATGGTTGATCACGAACTCTGGCAGAAACTATGATTCACTCTCATCCAGCTCAATTTACCCATCATCACACTAAGACATAAAAGATGACTGTAGTGATTGCAGTCTTGTGTCTTTTTAGTTATGTTCAGTTTTCATAAAGTTCTCCAGAGCTCAGGGGAAAAAGAAGGGAGAGAGCAAAGAAATGATGACAAGAAACCTAGAAAATAACAAATACAGAATTCCCTCCCTAGTGTACAGCTTGGCCCTATGTTATTCTTACTATGTTCCTGACTTCAGAATCTATACAGTCCTTAGCATATGTTAAACCCTTGATAAAAAGTGGTTGACCCAGTAAGCGAGTCTCGCAAATAGTCTTAATTGCAAATAATGTTTTGTCATTCCCATTTCAGTTCAGAAAAACACTCAACCTACTCAATACATGCGCAATGTGGCTAGCTAGGAGCTCTGTGCATATATCGGGGGAAGGTAATGCAGATGAAAACACAATAATGCTTGAATCTGGTTCTCAAGCAGTGTGTGATCCAGTGAGGAAGATAAATATTTAATTATTGACTGTAACATTAAAGATATCAAAATAAGTTCCTTGGCAAAGTTTTTATGTCCTTAGAAACTGGAGAGCTAGAGAAGTCTGGCCTAAAAATAAAGTAGGGAACAGAGCATTTGAGGGATACAGTTTAGGAGGAGTAGAGGAGAATGAACTGGCTTTGTTGAGAGAGGAAGAAAAGATGAATTGGAAAGGAGGGTTTGGGATCAAACCATTAAGAAGCTTTGAACTTGCTTGGGAGCATAGGACGTTGGGAGAGGCACTTTGAGAACAGAACTTGTCAAGTGGTGCTAAGGAAAGGAGGCACCAGGTAAAAGGCTACTTGCTGTGGTCAAGGCAAGACCGGGAAGAATCTGACTGTTGATGGCTGGAGGAGATGTTTTCAAGGTAGAATTAAGTGGACTTGACTAACTGCTTGCAGGGAGCAAAGATGATTTTGAGCCTGGTTGCTGAGACCTCAATAGAAGCAGAGGCACACCAAGGCTGGAAAAGCTTTGTTCTACTTTTAAAAAGGAAAACTTGCCAACTCCCTTTGTTGAGCATCCTCATGCAGAAGGCTGCCTAGGATCTTGTCTAGTTTCCTGCCCTCCAGAGCATTCTGCAAATAGAGATTAGTATCAGCATAGACCCAGAATACCTAGGTATGAGACTCTTTTGGAAGTTCAGTGGTTTCCAAAGTTACTGGAAATGTCAGAAATGAAATAGATCTTTCCACTCTCAGGAAACGACTAGGTTTCCAAACTAGGCCAAGCAGTCTGAGCTGACTGATCCTCTCCAGTTTTCATTAACCTCCAGTAACCTGGGGCACCTGTTAAAAATACACACTCCCAGATCCCACCACAAGTCCACTAAGTCAGATTCTCTAGGGCTTGACATATAATGAAAGGTTCCCATGTGATTCTTTAGCAGATTCCGAGCCACTGGTCTCCTGGGTGTCCCTCCTCACTCTTCACTTGTGCACTTCTCAGGAATGAGTGCAAGGTCCTTTCTCGGTTATTTCATTTGAGTGTGCTGTCTCCCCAGTTACACCATGAGGGCACTGGGTAGAGGCATTTATTGAACACTTGATGCCCGGACTTCTAGTAGACGGACAGTAGAATGGACCACCTGAATCAAAGGTCTTTGCTTCTTGCATTAGGAAAATGGTCAGTGAACAGTTACACTGTTCATGTCCAGGAAAGAAGCAGGCATCTTAGAACAACTGATGAATCTGACAGCAGACTGACAGGCCCACAATTGAATATAAGTAAAATGTACAGGTGGCGTGCCGTAAAGCACCACCATGCACCCGAAACTCACTTTCGTCCCATAGGTTTCATCTTAACTCTAACATCATGTCTGGTTCTAATGGTGCCAAAGAGAATTCCCACAGTTAGGCTCAGACATCGCCTTACCCAGGCTCCAAAGTTGAACGTAACCAAGTTCCTAATGAGAAAGTGGGCTGGATTGTTAAATAGCAAGACTATAACCCTGTGGGGTATATTGCCCTCTCTGTCTTGGCTGGGCCCAGGTGAGAGGATCATCAAATTAGTGAAAGCAACTTTTCTCCGAAGTTTAACGAAAAAGATGGGCATGTGGAGAGAAAGAGCCAGAATGGCCTGTATGAAATTGAAAATGGAAGACCCAGAAATCCTGCAGGACAGACAGGACTGGTTGGCTGGGGGCTCTTGGGGAGATGGGGTCCACATCATGCTACAGATCCCATTATAACCAGGTGGAAAGGGGACAGCAGTGGAAATAAAATCACCCACCCTGTTTCTGGGAAACACATCTTACAGTTTGTTGCAATAAAAAGGAAAGAACGTGGAGAGTGGGCGATCCCAGGGGGGATGGTGGATCCAGGAGAGATTAGTGCCACACTGAAAAGAGAATTTGGTGAGGAAGCTCTGGGCTCCTTACAGAAATCCAGGGCCGAAAAGAGAGAATTGGAGGATCAGGTACACAGACTCTTCAGCCAAGAGCACCTAGGGATATATAAAGGATATGTTGATGATCCTTGAAACACTGACAATGCATGGATGGAGACAGAAGCTTTGAATTACCAGGATGAGACAGTGAGATCATGGACAATCTGGCCCTGGAAGCTGGAGACAATGCTGGGAAAGTGAAATGGGTGGACATCAGCGACAAGCTGAAGCTCTATGCCAGCCACTCTCAGTCCTTCATCTGCCTTGTGGCAGAGAAGCGAGACGTGCACTGGAGCGAGGACTCAGAAGCCGACTGCCATGGCTCCTAGCCTGCATCTCCAGGTCCTCAGAGGCCAGCAAGGAGCATGTCCTGCAAAGAAGGAGAGTCACCGAGCTCATGCTGGGACAGGCCAGGCCAGCCAGAAATTTTATTCACGTTCAGAATGTTTATATTTCGAAGGTTTGGCATCCAAATAAAATGAGTAAATGTGATAAAATTTTCATCTTTCTGATCAAAAGGATTTGACGTAGCAGTATTTTGTATATGTCCTATATAAGCATGCTGCAAGCCAAATTTAAATAACTGATGCTCTTTGAAGAATTGTAACTAGAATAAAAATAAATTCCCGATTGGCTGTTAAAAAAAAACAAAACAAAACTCACAGACTTGGCTTCCGTGCTGTTGTCAAGGTAGTCTTCCCTCACAGCTAAGGAGAGTGTTGCTTGGTCCAGCTGTTAAAACAAAACCAGAAAGCATCCTGCTAACTCTTATGTACTGTGTTAATAAATGTCATGAGATCACCTGCGTCCCAATCATAGTTTGAATTTACCATTACAAATAGAGTTCACTCATTTCAGAGGTTCATGCAAATAGGCACTTCATTTATGACAGATCTTAAAGATCAGAGACCTGATCCCACTTTGCTGATTCATAGCTTGTAAACTTTTTGGAGTTTCTGTCAACCTTGAATAGCACCAGGGCTAATTAAGTTGGAACAGATCTTATAGATTTTTTTCTTCCTTATTTTCTCCCTTATTTCTTTTCTCCCTTATTTAATGGAGGAAGAAACAAAAGCCAGAGAATTGATTGACTTTCTCAAGATAATATAGTTGGGCAGAGCTCAGAGCAAAATCACCTTCTGATACCAGATCCAGTATCCTCATCACTGCAGTATTTGGCAAATGCTGATCTGAATAAAACTGATTAACCGGACTATCTATCTCTCTACCTCTAAAATGATGTATTGTATTTTCTATTGGAAAGGAATCAAATAATAATTTTGTTTTAAGAAATCTTGACAAATTTGAAAACTCTGCTCAGGTGCTAAAAACATAATCAGACAACTATGTGAGTAGAATTATTATGATGGAGAAATATAGAATAAATTCTTAAAATAAAGCTTTCAGCTTTGTAAATGGGGAGGGATGGAGGGGTTGAAGGGAGGACGGGGGAAGGGGGAAAAAATAAATAAAGCTTTCAGCAGCAGAAAGTCAAAGGAAACAAGATAGTCTTTTCATTATACATGTTAGAAAAACTGAACATCTGTATGCAAAACAACTAATCCTTGGCCCATACCTTATACCTTGTACAAAAAATAATTGAAAATGAATCATAGACATACATGTAAAACCTAAAAATATAAAACGTATAGAAAAAAATATAGTGGAAATCTTTGTGGCCTGGCGTTAGACAAATAATTTTTAGACATGACACTGAAATCATGATTCATAAAAGAAAAAATGAACAAACTGGACTTCATTAACATTAAAAAATTTTGCTCTGTGAAAGACACTGTTAAGAATGAAAAATCAAGCCACAGAATGGGGAAATATTCAAAAATAATATGTATGTCAAAGGACTCATATCCAGAATTATAGAGTCCTCAAAATTAAACAATAATAAAATTCAATTTAAAAGTGAGCAATTTAAAAGATAAAGATAGACACCTCACCAAGGAAGATATGCACTTGGAAAATGAGCACATGAAAATATGTTCAATATCATTAGTCATTAGGAAAATGTAAACTGAACTCACAGTAAGATACTACTATATGTTTATTAAAATCTAAAACATATCTGACAAGTGCTGGAAAAGATGTGGAAAAATTAGAACACTCATACACTACGGGTGCAAATGCAAAGTGGTACAGCTACCTTGGCAGGAAACCAGTTTGATCATTTCTTATAAAGTTAAACATACACTTATATATGACCCACCAATCCCACTCCTAGGTATTTACTCAGGAGAAATGTAAACTTATTCTCAAACAAAAAACCTGCTTGGAACTTTATTCATAATCATGAAAAACTGGAAACAACCCAAATATCTTTCAAGCTCTGGATGGATAAACTATGCATACTGGAACACTACTCAGCAATAGAAAGGAATGAACTACTGATATACACAATGCAGATGAATTTTACTTACATTCTGAAAAAGGTAAAACTATAGGGATAGAGAAGAGAGTTGTGGTTGCCAGGGTTTTGAGATGGGGAGAGGACTACATAGGGAGAGCAGTAGGTAATTTTGAGGGTAATGGGAATATTCTATTTCTTGACTGTGGTCGTGGTTACATGATTCTATGCATGTCAAAATTTATAGATATTTACATGACAAAAATGAAATTGACTATATACATTGAATTGTTTATAAAATGCTTCCAGCATCTTCTGTAAATCTATGGCTTGATCTTTCTTGAAGATCAGCAACTAGCTAAAGACCCAATAAAATGGAATCCACCAGCACATTTTCCCAGTTAAATCTCGGTTTCACACATTAAAAATTTAAGCCAAGTGAACAAAGTACAAATTCTAAATAACAAGTCAAAAATGAGTAGCATCTGAATTAAAACTTAATCTTGCATGCTCATATCATTAGTTTCTATGACTTTAAATTGTGTTGATCCATCTCCCTCTAGTTTCTTCTCCATCTTACTATAATTCCAAATATTTTGTTCTTTTTGAATACATGAAGTCTTTATGAAATTATAATTTTTCATGAAAAATCTCTTTTACCTAAAATAAATTCTACAAAGGGCAAGTTAACAGTGATGTAACGAAAATTTCAAGGAAAAACATTGTTCTTGTTTTTGGAGAAATAAGATGTTTTCAAAACATCCATCTTTCCTGTGTGTATTGCTAAAATCCTCAAATTGTTTTGTTTGACCTTCTCTAATTGGCCTGAAACAATGAAGTCACAAGCCAGCCTGGCTTCTTTCTACTGCAATTCCCAATCTACCACTGTTTCTTCCAAAAATTTAGTAAGCCAGTATCATGAAACAAAATATTTTGATTAAGACGCTTTGGCTTTCAATTAAATTTGGACCACTTGGAGACTCCCGTGAGCTTCGGTCTCACAGGAAAGGAAACTGCAGATAATATCTAGAAAGCCAAAATTTCCTCTCATGAAATGAAGCTAAATTCACTTGTTGTAAAAGTTTAGATAATTCAAGTGAGGTTACCAGACCTTTTATAAACCTCCAGATTGTTTTGGTGTCTAGGGAACATTTTAAATACACCAACAGATTGAATAAGATCAGTCAACTAAATCTCATTGGAAACATACAAACTCTTTGAGGCAAGAAGACTTTCTCAAAAAGTCAACATCAAGACACCATTACTTGAAGTTTTTGTGAATCCTTACGTTCACAATTGATTTGAATATTGCCAAGGAGAAAATAAAAGCAATTTAGGAAATCTCATAATTGAACTAAAAATGCAGATTATATTTCTCCAATTATAACTGATATTCCAATTACAATCAACCTTGTTAGGAGAAAAAGTGCTAATACAAAAACACCTGACAAGTTATGGTGTAAGAAAACAAAAGACAAAGAAATTTTTTAAATTTCATTTCCAACAGAGACTTTTCTCAAAATCATGAATTTTGCTGAGAACCAGAAAATGGCAGGCTGTTAAGTGAGGAGGCCTTTAAGTTGTTGTTTTATACTTGGTCACCCTGGCCAACCAAGTACTCTTTCAGGATCACGTAACATATATTCAAATCTTGTATTATCCCTGATATCTTCATCCTTGCTATTTCCTGGCATAAAATACCCAAACACATGTAGCAAGATAGTGTCTCAGGAACACTCATTTCTTGTATTTTTGTGGTTTTTTCTCTCATTTAAGTCTGTATCGTCTTGTAACGGGAGTTCTGCTAAGAGACAATGTATGAGCAAACTGCACATCCTTGCGATGAGGACATATGTGCTCATTAGAAGAGGGGCCCTTCTCTTCACCCAGGGGTACCATATGTCTACCCAGGAGTATGATGACAGTGCTGTCTCTGCCCAGAAGGAAGCCATTTTTAAGAAAATGTGGGTTTGTGGGATTAGGGAAGATAAGAACATTTGGAGAAATAGAGCTTAATGAAAAAAGAAACCCTAAATGCATTAAGAGAAGACAGTTTGAGCTGAGAGAGCTTCTCCAAGAGTAGAAAGAGGCTCTTTCAGGCAGCAAAAGAAGTCTATGGTTCTCATAAGCAAAGTGCCCAGTCAGTGCCTCTACTGTAGCAGTATCTGAGAGGGAGAAGGGGCCCAGAGCCAGGAATCTGAGAAGCACACTTGCAGAAGCCGCACAGGATCCAGAGAGGCCTTCTTGTCAAACACTAAATATTTGATGATTTGTGGTTATCCCAGGAGAAGGTTGAGAAATGGAGCAGTCAGGAGGGGGTGTGTAGTGTCTATATCCAGGATCAATTTCCCAGTAAAAGGTGGGGTGGGAGCCCAGAATCAAAGATTAGGTTAACTAAAGAAATGCCTACTCTGGCACAACCAATTTTGAGATCTGAGAGGCATGTTGGGTACACAAATTAAGGAGAAGTATTTTTCAAGTGGTCCTGACCTGATGCTGGTCATACTTCAATAGAAGGAAGTCTTTTGTCATGTGCCGCTGTATACCAACATCTACCATGGAAACTCACAGAATTCAAGTCATTTAAATGATGAAAAGTAAATTCTAACTTATCTGTCCTTACACACAGGGAAAGTGAGACTCAGAGAGGTGAAGCAATTTGAACAAGGGTATTTGGTGAGTAAATAACAAAACTAAACTGAGAACCTCAATGAGGTTTAATGAGCCTCAAAGCCTACTCTTGCCACCATACCAATGGTCTTCAAACTATATTCCACAAAACCTAAAAGAAGTTCAGGGGCTCCAAATGTTCCTTTAATTAAATTTTGTTTTGTGTAGCTTTAACTTTTTTAAACTGATAAAAAAAGCAACATACACAAATACTACAACTTTCACAGCCACCAATAAACTGGTTTTTATCATCCAGTTCATTGTGTTTCAGGCAGATCTCAGAATAAAGCTTCTCCTACCATTTGTGGACACATGTTTGAACTTATTATAACTGTATCACAACTAGTTATGTGACTGTATGATTAGTTATCATGACTGTAACTGTTTTGTTTGGGGGAAGGTGATGAATTCAGATGTGTGAATATTTCCCCGTGTAAAATGGTCCAAACCACGACAGAACTAAAGCAAACGTGTGCTACACTCAAATGCTAAGCAATGTTCAGACACTTCAGATTGGAACAAGCTGCCATCTTGGCAAAACAGAGCAATAGTAAGTACATGAGTGCCTCCTTCCATTTGGAAAGTTTCTTCTAGAATCACTGTAATTGAATATTAAATGTGAAAAGCAAGCTGTTACCATGGCCTTCTGTCCCCCCTGTGCTTTCTGGAAGCAGATACTAATACTGAAGGCTTGATTAGATTCAAATTCAGTTTTTTCTTTTCTTGACACATCATTGATGATGGTATGTACTTCCTACTGCTATTAGGAAGCATACAATACCTGGTTGTCCCACTTTTAGCAATGCTACCATGGATATTTGGGTTAGGGTATCAGCCTGGGTTCTCTATTAAGAATTTCCCAAGTTTCATCTAATGATTTTAGTAGCTATTGATGATAGTTGCCTAGACCTCATTGTCATCAGGAATTTTTTAAATGGTAACTTTCTAATTTTATCATTTCTCCTCAGTTTTTAAGCTGATTCCCTTCTATGCAAGAACTTTATCTCATCAGCTGTAAGGTTACCCTAAAGTCAGTCGAATCTAGAATGTGGAAAGGTCCTATAGACCTTCAACAAATAAATGTGATGTTAAAAAAAAACAATAAGAAGGGAAATTAGCAGATTAGAATATTGGAGCCCAAAACAAAGGCCAATTGTTTTGGGTTTGGGCTTTTTTTTAACTTATGTTTGAGAGCTAGGGATGTAGCTCAGTGGTAGAGCATTTGCCTACCATGCTCAAGGCTCTGGGTTCCAGCCTCAGCACCACAAAAAAATAAATTAAATTAAATTATTAACTTAAAAGGACATGTTTGAGCCAATCAGGATAACTGAAAATTAATCATGAATTAGACATTAATTGTGAGGTTATGATTACTCTCATGGTTCTGATGAGTGCCCTCTCGATTAGATCCACACTGAACCATTCCCAATGCAATGGTATTATCCTTTCAATTTGCTATAAAATGTTACAGCCCTCCTCTCTCAAAAAGGAGGCCTTTAGAAAAGATAAGAATATGAGAAAGTTGAGAGTAACGAAGCTGGGTTGATGGGTCCAGTGGAGTTTGATGTTCTATTCTTTTTACTTTTGTGTGTATTATTTTCCATAATAGCATGCTTAAGGAAATTTATTTGACTAGATCCTAAAATGGTAAAAATAAAATGATTACCATTTGCATTATTCATCTGTAAGTCAACAACTCTATTGACCAATAGTGTGCATAAACCTAAGTTTGAAAGACAGTTTCCAGCTTACTTCAAAACACCACCTAAAATGTTTGAAAGAATATCTTAACAGTTCTGGAACTGAGAATGATGGTGTTAAAACCTGGTTGTAGAAAATGAGTAATCTATCCACATGGGAGAGGGATCCAATGGATCCCCCTCAACATTGCACCTTACATAGCACATCTTATCCTGATAGCATGAGAAGATGGCTCAATACTATATGATCACTTCATCTCCCAACATGGAAACACAGCTGACTCTGAAACTGAGAATTTCCTTCTGAGTAGGTGGGAATTCCTTCAATGACTAAGGATTTTTATTGAGACTTTCACTGTCTAGAGGTCAGAAAACTAGAGCCTTTGGGCCAGCCCGTCACATAGCTGCCCACTCATTGTCTAAGGCTGCTTCCTTAGCCAAGTACAATAGCAAAGTCTAGTTGTTGCAACAAAGACCAGATAGCCTGCAAAACTTAAAATATGCACTGTATGGCCTTTAACAAAACAGTTGCCACCCTCTGGTCTAACCCAAGATCAACTCCAGGGTTGGGATTTCAGAAAGTTGATTTATATTAGGTAAGGACGATACACTCTAATGGTTTCATAACTTTTCCAATTTGAATGTCAATATACCATTAATATTTTCTAATTTGACAAAGAATAAAATTGGGGGGATCAATTGTTCAATAACATTATTAGTCAAAGTTAGTGTGGAAATAAAAAAAAAACAGGATCAAAGCACAGAGTGATTTCAAAACTGTTGTATGAATTCTTACAAAGCTCTTTCATTGTTGAATCTGTGGTTGCTAGCTTCCTGGCAACCTCCTGATTTTAGCAGTGTGATCTTCCTCAGGGCATGCCCATGTGGCCCAATCCTTCATGGAAAAGATGCTTACTCTCCCAACAGAAAATGCAATCCACTACTTAGAACAAGTTCTGCTTGATCTTTTGAAAGGAAGGAGGAGAAATTCGGATTGAACTTGACAATGAGAACGTAGGTGTGTATGCAAAAAGATGTTCATGAAAAGGGAACAAGAAATCATGGCGTGTATTTTATTCTGTCAGGGGAATGGGGAAGTGAGGGAAAGAGCAGGTTCAGAAAGTTTTGACAACAGCTGGAGAATCACAGCTCTCTCTGCTGGAATTTAGGGGCCTCGTGTTTAGAGTAGATATTGGAAGACCAGAACACAGACCACTTTGAAACTCACTCACAGGCATCCTGAAATGTAGACAACATTTGTCTGCCACTGATCTAAATTCTGTATATCTCAGAGGGGGTAATATTCTAGATCCTAATGTTCAACAAAACTTTTATTTGATCATTCACTAAGACAAAAGGAATTTCTTTGCCTAGGAAGGCACCCCAAAAAAACTAATCTTGGGCTGAACAGAGCTCTGGCTATACCTTCAAGATGTGTTCATTGGATGCTTTGTCATCGGGGGACACATACAAACGGATGAACACAGAATTGCTGTATTGACCACGGAATGCTGCAAGTGTGTGCAGAAGGCTGAATTTTCTCTCTGACCAAACTCCTTCAGGGCCAATATTAGCTTCAAGCACAGGCCAGCAGAATGGTGAATGTCGCAGGATATAGAGCAGTGGTTTGGCATCTGCTTTTTCAATCGCTTCTGAAAGGGAGCAGATATGAAGGGAGAGTTAGAATTGCAAATCAGATCACCAAGCAAGAATGCAAGTGCATCTCCTGAAGAGAAAATTCTGTAAGGCCTCAACTTGAAATTTCAGCTATCAGGAAGAGGATGGTTGATGTGGGATGGATTGAGTGTAACCACAGAGACAAATTCACCTACAACTCACACTTCAATATGATCATCTAAATCTGGTGTTTTTGCCAGAAAAAGCTGACAGAGAAACCTGCTGGGTTTTTCCTACAACAGAAAATGGGCTCACTCCATTGACCCCAGTGAATAAAGTGAAGCTGATCATACTTGGTGGTACCTGGGAACAACCCTAACTAAAGGAAATGACTCAGTAAAGCTAGTCACTCCCTAATGAAGTAAAGTAATGCTTCAGGCTCTGTTCTTTTACCGGCCCCTTCTAGCTTTCCAAGTGATACCCCAAATCCTATCCCAGCAAACATACTTCCCAAAAGAAGACTTCTTGCAGTGGACTTGAGAAAGCATATCGGGTAAAACAGCAAGTATCTCTTCCAACTCTAGTCAGACCCAAGATGTCAATAGACAGGTGTGAGGCTCTCAAAAAAGACTCTGGTGAAGATAAAGAAGGAGTCTGGGAATCTGGATTTCTCTAGGTTCCAGTAGGTCCTATGGAACATATCAATTCTCCCAGGTATGCTCCCTCCCAGTCTCTTTCTCAGACATGAAGTGTCCTGGCCTCTGGATTCTTTTTGAACCAGGTATAGTGAGACTTGCCCTACTGCCCTGTCCAAGTGCTTCACAGAGTAACTGATACCCAAATAATCTATATCATACAAATAAGATTATTTTCTCCACCAAGCCAACCAAAAAAAGAGTAACTAAGGAAGATTAATCAAAATCCTGTCACTGGTTATGTTCCTTTCCTTAAACAAAACCTTGAAACATTAAGAGAATTTTTAGTTATCTTTTTCCTTAAACAGTATCTTTAAACATTAATGAAATTCTGAAAGCTAAGGTGGTAAATGTCTTATTTGTTTTCTTTATTACTCACTTTCATTCATACAAGATGAATAAAGAATTTTGGCCTTCTGTATGGCTTCAGAGTCCCGCCTTCTACTGATTGATTTCTCCAAAAGTGCTGGGAAGGTTAAGAAATGATGCATTAGTATCCATCCACATGGAATGCAAAGTTGCAGATCATTGGCTAATCATAGTTCCAGCCTCCGGAAAATTAAATGTAAAGACAGACAACCCTGGAAAATACATATCTATAAAAGACAGAAGGATGGCAGAACCAATTCCAAGTTGTTTAATGTTCAAATAGAAACAATTGAACATTCTCTTATCCAGGGTTCTCCTAACTCAAAAGAAATCTAAAGTTCAATTTCCAACTGAGACTGGACCTTCTGCAGGGGTTAATTTCCTCTGCCACCTACACAAAAAGAAACAGAATTCATTTATTCAAGAATCAAAATAACTGAATTCCAACTCTTGTTTCTCCACCAAGTAATATTCTCAAGGGAGGCAATTTCATCAAGGTCAAGTTTCTTAAGATTTCTTCACAGCACAGCCTCTCAGGGAGGTCACCTGGAAGAAATTGCCCCTTAGATGTTTTATTCAATGTTGTATAAACATGCTGTAGACATGGAAGAAGTTGTTTAGACAGGAAATGGGGAGATGAGGTTGGAAAGCCTTCCCAAATTGCCTGAAAACTTGCCCGTTTATACATGCAAAGTCCTGGCTGTTTAAATAAGGCCGTGTGTATAAAATGGCTTCCAGGCCCACCTGGAAAGTGATTTTCTATTTATAAAAGCACTAATAATACTGTTCAAAGGGGGAAAATGGCAGCTGTCACTGTTTCACTAAATAAGGAAAGAGAAAAGCCAGGACTCAATGAAAACAAACCTGTAAAAAACAAAAGAGTACCTTGAATGCACTTGAGAGTATCAATTTACCAACATGAAGCCAAGCTGAAAAATCCCTATGGTGAGTGCAGCCCCATGGCACTGCCTTTTCCAAGTATGTCAAACTGCTGTTGTCAAGGAATTTGGGGAAGCAACCTAGCAAGCCTCCAAAATCACAGTACAACAGATGTTCCTACGGATCTCAGGATAGCTTCAAGACACAATGTACAATGCTAATCAAATTAATAAATAATTACATATTCCCTGAAGTGGAATCTACTTCTAAACTAGTTCTAAATCTCACATAATGCAACCCAGAGCTCCTGTCCAGTTTTTTAAATAAGCACCTGTACATAAAACAAGTCCATATAACTAGATAGATTCCAGCACAATAAATTAAATTGGGTTAGATGTGGGCGTTCTCAGCTATCCCAGCTTGTTTGGTGCTTCTGTTGTATGTATTATTATAGCAATAAAAGCCAGAAAATTAGCCCCAAGGATAAAGGAGGTTTTTTTTTTTAATAAACAGAAAGCTCTGAAACCATATCCACATAGATTTCCATTCAAATCAGAGCATGTGCCTTTCTGTCATATTGCTTACACAGTCATTATGGTCATTAGACTGTTGGGCAGACACATTTGGAAGTAAATAATTCAAATTTCATTTAGGATTGTGATGATGTTCTGATGCTATAAACACTTCCCAGGCTGCAAATACGAGTACCCCGAGGACCAAACACAAGCCATGGAAGCAAAAAGAACTAAAAGTATTAAATATTTACCTATGCATGCTCCCAAGGCACGCAGTATATTACAAGAGAAAAGAGAACACACGTGTGCTAAGTAGGGCAATCCCAAAATCCTAACCATGCACAAAGATCAATAATTTAGGTATGTCAAAATTTTGATTTCTATACAAGAATTTGGCTTTTATAACAGATTCAGTTGTCCCAGGTTCCTTGTCACACCCTTTTCCTCCCCTTCTCCTTTTTTGCTCTCTGCATCCAAGCCAGCAGAACAGCATTTATATGCAGACAGCGATGTGGCAATCAGTCCACTGTAACCATTTTATATATATCTGCATGTGAATTAGTGGTAAGAGAAATAAAATCTAGCCTGGAGCATCATTAATAAACAGAAAACAAAGCCTGTCTATCATAAGCAATTACTCAGGTTGTTAAAATGTCCCTGAAGCGTTGATAAGGGCTCATGGGTCACCCTTCCATGGCATTCCCTTCAGAGACTGTGTTGTTTCACAGAGGATTTCTCAATCTCCACCACCACCACTAATTCCTTACCAGAAAAGGAAAATGCCAATCCACAAAAACCTACAGTACAGCAAATCTCACACTCTAAAATTTGAGACGTTCTTGTGATCATCAAATTTGAATACTACATCTATTATGTAAACATTTTCTTCTCATTATACACAATCAAATAAGATTGCTTTAAGAAATATAAGGCACGGGTCAGGGATTTAGCTCAGCGGTTTCCACTGCCTGCTGCACAAGCGCAAGGACCCGAGTTCGATCCCCGGTATCGAAAAAAAAAAAGAACTATAAGGCAACATAATAGACATGTCAAGAAGCTGGACTTTCAAAGTACACAGACCTGAATTCCAGTTGCTGGAATGCAAGCAGGTGATTTAATCTCTCCAAGCCTCAGTTTCTTCATCTATAAATTTAGGTAATAATAGTATATTCCTATGAGATTATGGTGAGGGTTTACATTTTTAATACACAGAAAGTGTCTATCTCAGTGTCTGGGAACATGAAAATAGGGATCAATAAGTGGTGGTTTAAACACAATTACAGGCCAAGTTAACCATCCACATATTTGGAAAGCAATCAAGCTTGTTTCTAATGCTTCCTCCACAATTATTTGTATTCTTTCCCCTATCTCAGGGTACTGGTACGCAAAGCCCTACTACCTCAAGATACTATCAGTCTGGGCTGGGGATTTAGCTCAGTGGTTCCACTGCCTGCCTCGCAAGCTAAGTACCCAAGCTCAATCCCCAGTACCAAAGAAAAACCCAAACAAACAAACAAAATAAACAAAGATACTATCAGTCCATATGCAGGACTATTTCACACATTGGACCTGGTCTAGCTACCTTGCAAAGTCCTACATTCTCAATGATTCTTCTGCTTCCATACAGAAAAAATTCTAAATGATGAGATACACATGAAGACAGTGTTAACCTCTGAAAATATTTTAATTACATCCCTCATCCTGGACAACAAGGCATTGCCTTTTTAAAATGTAAACATTTTCAGTGAAAGTATAACATACAGACTACAGAAAAATGCAAAGACCAAAATTCGAAGGCTTTTCACAAAGTAAACATGCCCAAGTAATCAAAATTATTACCAGAACCCCATAGGTTCCTTGTGCCCCTTCCTTTCCAATTGCTACCTCCAACCAAGACAACCAGCATCCTCTTTTGTGAGTGCTTACTTCTAGTGGGTAGTCCACCTTTTCCTTTGGATTGGTAGAAGTTCTTCATATAGTGTACACACAAGTCTTTTTTGAATATTCCTATTGCAACATTTTCTCCCATTCCTTAGACTTTATTTTCTCAATGTTATCTTGTGGTAGACTGAAATTATTTCAATGTAGTCAAATTCCTCCATTTTATCATCTCTATAGCTAGTACATTTCTGTACCCTATTTAAAAAATCTTTGCCTGCCACAAAGTCATGAAGTTATCCTACATTTTCAACTAGAATCATTATTGATTCACATTTAGATCTACAATATAGAATTTCTTCTTGCCCGTTATGTAGACAGCCCTGCCTTTGTAACAAAAGCCTGGCCTCACAGGGGACGAATCATGAGAATTCTAATAAATAAGATATTTTTGGTCATTACACATCAAATAATATCATCCAAAAATATTTTCATGAAAAAATGATATTAACAATGGCTTTTCTCTATTAGTTTGAGTCTACTTTTAAGCAAGAGCTGGATCACATTCATCTTTGAAAAATCAGGCTCTACAGCTTGGAATGACTGATGCTTGGTGAATATTTGCTGAGTTGAATTCCTGGCAATGAATGTCTGAAAGAAAAATTTTCATCCAACTGAAAAGGAACTGTGGGAAGCTAGACTACTTTTATTGTTTTTCACAATCACCAATATCATGATCACGCTAACATCATAATCTCCTTTTTTCACATTCCAGTCTCTGATCATAAAATGACATCCAAGATTTCATCTTTTTTGAATAGCAGTTGAGATACTCAAGTTTAATTTTACCAGTTGCCTCAGCTGAATTCCCCATTCCCAATATCCTGCTCTTCTATACTGGGAGTTTGGGTACAGGTAAGGGAGGCATACCTCCTTTACCCTTAGCAATCAAGAGAAGACTATCAATCCTACTTCCTCAATTCACTCCTCCTACTCAGACAGGGCACTTATTGTGCATACTAGAGGTAAAAAGAAAATTCCAAAGGAAGGGTGAGACTCCTGTGGAATTCGCAGTATCCTGGTTAGTCAAGAGCTCATGACAGTTATGTACAACTCAGGCCAGCCATTTGAAGTTTCTGCAATACTTATGACCAGCTCAACTAATACTGTTTTTTAAAAAATTCCACATGCACAAAGGTTTAGGCATATAGCAAAATCCTACCAAAAGCCTTGATGCTGAGCTGACACCATGTGAGATGGTTCAGGAGCACAGGAACTCATACACAGCTTTCTCCTTTGTGTTCTTTCTCCTGGTCCTCCAACACTTCTATGTGCCTGCTCTACAGGGAATCCTGAGGCTGTTAAGAGTCCAGTGGATGCCGGAGCCGTTTGCTTGATTGGCTTAATGGAAGCAGCAATTGCATTTTAAACCTTAACATTAACTTCACCAAGGTAAATGCTCAATCTTGTGTAGATTATGCCAACACTTCTTTGATATCAAAAAGGGTTCCCTCTTAAGTCAAGTGAAAGGACGTGAAAAATCCAAACTCTGGGAAACAAAATCTGTATTGTAAGCTTCCACATCTACATAATGAACAAAATGTTCTCTAGACCTATATATATTTAAAACCTATCACACCATGGCCCAGTTTCTCCTTTGGTGGTACTTAAAAACCACCTTTGGACAGTCCATGGTTGAATGTTACCTCTAATTTTACTATTTTTAGTCCTTGTTGATTTTCTAGGCTGGAGACTTCAATTTGGTTTCCAAGCTCCAGTTTATTTACTGTACTGAAAATTTTCATTTTTCTAAATCACACTGCAT